CGCGTTCGGCGGTTTCACCGAGTTCCCGCCACCCCCACCCGGGCCCACGACCTTCCCCGGGCTTACCGAAAGAGTGGAGGTTCTGAATAGCGGACATACGATACGATTCCTTTTCCTCGGTGGAAACGGCCTGCGGAAGGCGGCTGCGGGAGAAGGCGGGCGGGGGGGACGGAGCGTCGGGAAGCGAGGGGGCTCGAGGGGGAGGCAGCTGAGTCCTCGGCGGCGGCTCAGTGACTGGGGCGGAGGGGCGGCGCCTGTATTCACTTATATAGCCGCCCCTGTGACGCCAGCGCGCTGCCCTCACGTCCCGGCCCCACCCAGGGCGTCAAGTGCCCCGGCGCCCGTACGCCGTGGCTTCCTATTGGTCGGGGGGCGGAGTCAAGGCGTGGCGCTTGCGCATTGGGTTTGGCTGGGAGAGGGCGTCCTGTTGTTTCAGGGAGGGGCGAGAGGGGGAGGGAAAGCTTGGTCCCCCCCCCTCCCCCCGTGCGCTTGCGCAGGGTTGTGGGTGGTAGTTGTCTGGCCGGCCGAGAAACTGGCGGAGGTTTCGAGTGCGCCTGCGCCTTTGGCACGTTTCATCTTGACCCTGTTGGGGGTGATGCTGGTACTAAGGGGTCTTTGGCGTTCTTTAGGGGAAGAATTACAGGCTGATCCTCCCAAATTCGACAGCTCTCGGCTATGTCATAGCCACCCATTAACTCACCCTTCTCCCCACTCATTCACTGGTTTAGCCTTTTAATTGACATAAAATAATCAAAACCTGAACCTTACAGAAAATCATTTGGTTTAGGATGTTTTAAAACTGGTAACCTAAGTTTGTTACTTACATGAATTCTAAGGATGGAAGTCGTTCCCGAGGTGGGGGTGGGGACCCCAGAAAAATTCAGGCACCAGAGGATGCCCTTTGTCCTGCACACCTGTGCTTCAGGTAGAACCTTTCAAGAGCTTCGGTGAGTTGTTTTGTTGTTTTTTTTTTAAAGCAGTTAACCTTTTTTTTTTTTTGAGACAGGGTTTCTCTGTGTAACCCTGGCTGTACTGGATGGAACACGGTCTATAGACCAGGCTCCCCAAGAGATCCGCTAGCCTCTGCTTCCAGAGTGCTGGGATTAAGGGAGTGTGTCACCACCGCCCGGCTAGTTAATCTTCCAGTTTATTTTAGAAATTAAGTTTTCTGCAGTGCTTGGGATGGAACCTAGAGCGAGCTAGACACGCATTCTACCCCTGGGCTACAGTCCATCTCTGTTTACTGAACCGCTCTTTGTGACAGGAGCGAATACTGAGTGGAAGATCCAGACACCCTGACTTCACTAGATCTCCTTCCACCCTTGAGGCAAACGGTCCCAGGAGAACGTAGTGAACAAAGGACCTTCATCAACTTTGTAGGGTTCACATACACTGAACTAGGGCCAACCCCATGGTATCTCAAGGTAAAGACCAAATAAGATCAGGATCTAGGACTTGTCCAGGCCTGCCCCAAAACAGAGGACTAAAGCCCTCCCCAGCCCCCTAACTAACCCTAGCCAGTTAGAACATACTGATAGTGTTGCCACCTGTTTAAGCCAATTGTAGTTGAAATGACCTAACTTCCTCAGGCGCTCTCCTTAGTGAGACTTAAAAGAAGCCTCTTTCCACTTGGGAGGCAGAGGCAGGAGGATCTTTGTGAGTTTGAGACCAGCCTGGTCTACAAGAGCTAGTTCCAGGACAGGCTCCAAAACCACAGAGAAACCCTGTCTCGAAAAACCAAAAAAAAAAAAAAAAAAAGCCTCTTTCTCCTCCTAGAGGTCTTTCGCCATCTTGTTTCTGTGTGTGACACACCAGCGTGCTAGAATAATAAAACGCTCTTGCTGATTGCCTACGTGGATGGTGCTCTTTTGCGGGACTCTCCGGGACCTTAACACCAGGAAGAGGAGATAAAAGAACAGCCAGCCAAGTGTGATGTAACTGGGTTTGTCGGGGCCTAAAATGAGAGCTTGAAGCTGCCTGCAGTGGCTGCCAACTACTGTGCCAGAATGTTCAAATCCTCCCCCAAAGGTAGGTGTTTACATCAAATTCTTAACTTAAAAATACTGCCTACTGCTGGGCGGCAGTGGCACATGCACTCGGGAGGCAGAGGCAGGTGGATCTCTGGATTTGAGGCCAACCTGGTTCTACATAATGAATTCCAGGACAGCCAGGGCTACACAGAGAAACCTTGTCTCAAATATTGTATTTGACAACTGGTGACGTCCTGGTGGTCGCCCTTGTCGTCCCAGGTGTTGAGAGAAGGAAGTAAGAGGAAAGAATTCAAGGTCAAATGAGTTCAAGGCTAGACTGCTACAGGATTTGCTGCCTCTAAAAACCTCAAAAAGTCAGGCCCTGATGGCACACGCCTTTGATCCCAGCACTTGGGAAGATCTCTGTGAGTTTGAGGCCAGCCTGGTCTACAGAGTGAGTCCCAGGACAGGCTCCAAAGCTACACAGAGAAACCCTCTATAGAAAAAAAAAAAAACCAAAAACAAACCAAAACAAAACCCCAAACCAACCAACCAACCAACCAACCAACCAACCAAACAAACAAACAAACAAACAAAAAACCCAGAAAATTGGGCCAAGAATATTGGTGCATACCTTAGATCTAGCACTTGTGAGGCAGAGGCAGGCAGATCTCTGAGTTTGATCCCCACCAGATCTACACAATGAAGCACTGAAAAACTGCTGGGTGTGGGTGGCGCTCGCCTTTAATCCCAGCACCAGTGAGGCAGAGGCAGGCGGATCTCTGTGCGATCGAGGTCAGCCTGCTCTTCAAAGTGAGCCCCAGGACAGCCAGAGCTGTTTGTTACACAGAGAAACACTATCTCTAAAAAGCAAACCTAACAAACCAAAACAACAAACTGCGTGCTGGCCCCATGAACTGTCAGTTTGTGCCCAGTCTTGCTGTCTTCATCAGTTTCAGTGTCTTAAAGGTAAAGGCAAGCAGGACCGACAGAAAATACAGAATGAGCTAAGAACGGATTGTGAGGTGCTGGGAGGGGGCGGGGAGAAACGGGATGACGTGTCAGAGTGACAGAGGTCCAGGCTTCTTCAGATGGGGCCTTTAGATGAACAGGTGGCGTCTTGGCCTGGTGGGAAGGAATCTGCTGTGGAGCGAGGACGGGAGCTCACCCAACAGAACATCCCTGAGGGAGGAGAGGTTGGGTGGATTTGAAAGGATTTATTTTGCAGGACTGGGGATTAAGCCCCAGATTGTGTACACACGAGGCAAGTGCTGTACAGAACTGCAGCTCTAGTCCTGAATTCGTCTGTTTTTTTTAAGAGATGTACTTGTTTGGGGTCTGGAGAGATGGCTCGGTGCTTAATAACACTCACTGACTGGTCTTTCGGAGACCCCAAGTTCTAGTCCCAGACCCTACACGGTGGCTCACAGTGGTCTTCTGATGTTCTGGCCTGCACTGGATGCATATGGTGTGCAGACAGACATACAAGCAAGACACCCATATACATAAAGGTAAGAAATTAAAAAAAAATGTGTGTGAATGTTTGCCTGCATGTATGTGCTTGACGCCTGCAGAGGCCAGAAGATTCCCTGAACTGGAGTTACAGACAGTTGTGAGCCACCACATGGGTGCTAGGAATGGAACCTGGGTCCTCTGCGAGAACAGCAAGTGCTCTTACCTTCTGTGCCACCTCTCCAGAAACCCTAACGTTTGTTTTTGATTTCTCCTTACTAAATGATTGGCTCACACACCTTCACTCTTGTTCTTTTTT